ATGAGAAGGTACCTGCAACAACACCAAATGTTAAATGGTAGGTATTCAAATTTATGACCGTCCATTTTCTCCTGAGTGAATACCATGGAAACAGCTGAATATTACCAACTGGCCAAAAGAGTCTCCAGAGGTTGTGCAGTTCAGCTGGAAAAGAGAAGCACCTGGTTTTAGGATCTTCATTTATTTTAGAGGAACTACAGGAAGAAAAAAATAAGTGAACCGTTGTATTAAACAAGTGTTTAAACCTCCCGAAATAACCTCAGACATGAGTTTTCAATAGCCGTGAATGTGCAGCTGTATAATGTTGAAGTGGAAATTTGGACCTCTCGTACATAAGTGCTCAGGTTCAGCCTTAATTTCATACAGCCTGGTGTGAACTGTTCCCAGGAGGAACTTCAACTCTTACTCTGCTGTTCTATGGCTGAGCTGCTCCTGCTGTAAAGGAATCTCCTGTCCTGGTGTGTAACAGAGCCAGGTCCTGGGAAGAACAAAGGGAAAATGACATGAAATGTTAAACCTTGAAATTAAATACAAAATTAGAAGGTTAATTCAAAATCTGACGGTAGATGCTGTGATTACTCATTCGTTTCTTGTCTTGTGGCAGAACTGACGTTTTTTCAGGCTTTTAATTCAAAATTGTAAAACAAATATAAAAAGCAACTTAGATTCTCCTTGTCAAATAATCTTTTAGGTGTAAATTTTAAGGATGCAGAAATACTTTGATTCATCTCTTACTTACTTACTTTGTGATCATTCCGTGAAGGTTTTCTCATGTGGCAACAGATCAATCAATGCGTCTACACATACATTTTTTTTAAAAGCTTATGGATAAAATGTGACCTTTCCTGTCCAGGACAACTCAAGGTGATGCTAAAGGTGGCTAGGCACTGAGATGCTAGCTGCCAGCTCACGTGTGTGGCTGTACACTTCCTCTCCCCCTCCTCACAAAAAAACTGTAATTCCTACAGAAATACAATTTTCTTTTTAACCAGATGTAATTAGATACAAATCAGTACAATTTTTCTAGTTCATTTTTAAATCTGTATATTGTCTTTCTCTATGTTCGCTCTCCAAAACATCAACGCCCACCCGGGGGGCACACCCCTAACTTTGAGAACCTCTACAGTAACTGCATATAAAACTTACTGGAACACCAACATTCTCTTTAAAATAATGATAGGATTGTGATTGATAGAGTGCAAAAATGGAGTTGAAATTTTATTTACACTTGTTCTTGTTTTTGTAGAAGGTTAATTTGTTAAGAGTTTAATTTACTGAAACAGATCACAGCTGCTTTAGTGATTTTAATAATGAGATATTTTTAAAAAAACTCTATTCATCTACCAAACTCTAAAGCTACAAATCTTTTCCATCTGGTTCTCAGGAATTCAGAACACGTTTGTTGACGTCACCAGCCTCCATCAGATGATGTTTTGATGTGGGATCTGTTTATTTATTCCTGTAACAGACTCATTCTACTGTTGAGTGTAATGAACACATAAATGAGGACTCTTCCAAAGGCTTTTTCTTTTTCTCTGGACATTAATTCAATTCCACGAAAAGGCATCTTCCCCGTCTCCAAGGCTGGTTAACACACACATGCTGCCACACTGAGACAGACTTCAGATGATTTCTGTCTTCAAGGCCTCTGCTGTCAGAGAGAGTGAATCCCACAGCAGAGATTTTCAAGCCTTGAATATGTAAAACAGCTCCTTCCAGGCTGCGGCTTTCTTGGAAGCAGTAACTGTGTAGTGTAACTGATACATAATGTGATTACTCTATTTACATATCACTATGTGATGGAGTATAAATGCAAGTGCGTTTGTTGCTACCAGCTACCAGATGTGTATTTATTCTGGTGAATGTTGAAATATAATTATGAGTTGACAAAGTAGTTCCTTGATTTGACCAACGTCGTCATACATTTCTTTTGGGAAATGCTTCTATTTCTGGGTTGTCTCTGATTATTTAGGTCAAAGCTGAAATTGTCTCGTGTTCTTACCTGCTTTTCCCATTGAAGGAGGAGGTTAGGAGCATCTTCCCGGCACAAAAGAATACATGAATACACATTTGACTCGGAGTACTCTATGTAGCTCGGCATAGAAAAAAATTCTTCTTACTATAATGCATCCAAATTTACTTTATTGATGTGTTTCTTTCTTGCTGATTGAGTGTTGGCTCCTGGCTGATCTAACGTTCATGAAAACACATTTTTGCTCAGCTTAATGCACATTGTCTCGTGACTCCAGTCCATTAAGCACTAATGGTTTGTGACCTTCGATGGTGTTTCCTTGACTATAACGAGGAAATCAAACCATAGGCTAAAGAAGACAAACAGACAAATCCTTCTCCCTGCTCATTTCAGTCTCCTCTAACAAGCAGAGGAGAATCCTTGTACCCTGCTAATTTATTACTCACTGCTCTAACTGCAATGCAAATATAGCATTTAATGGTGAATTACTGAGGTGAGTCGGAGCCGAACAATGAGATGACATCATAAACTATATGTAGCTAATTGGATAAATGCAAAATCAGAAATAGGCAAAGTAAAGCAAAGGTTGACAATTTTCAGGTGCAATTTCCATTGATTTCTGGATTCTCATGTCATGCTTTAGCATGTATTTTCCAACCAATAGAATCTTAAGTTACAAAACTGGCATCTCATTCCACTTCTGCTTATGTAGTCATTTCCTAAACTAGTGGAATATTTTGAACCGTTTCCACAGCTTTTCTTTCGTAGCCCATGTCTTTCAATGTAGATGGCAGGTAGAATACGATAGATCTGTTATTTAAAATCCTTTCTTTTTTCACGTGTTTTACAAATAAGAAATAAACACTTTATGAATATCATCCATAAACAGACAGGCAAGTCACCCAGTCTTAACAGGAAAAGTAATTATTTTTGTCTCTGTTTGTAACATAATCCTTGTAATAGAAACAATCACAAAAACAATTATAAGAGGGTTGTTTTTTCCACAGGGCAGTTTGTAGAACAAAGCATGTGTCTACGAACTAACTTGAAGAGATTTTGCATAACTATCTATATACAACGTAGCTTATATGTAGGGCACAAATGTATAATTTATTAACGCAGTCTAGATTCAATACAGAGCAAATAGAGCGTTAATACAACACTGTGTGTTCATGAGGTGAGAGAGAACAGATTTGTGAGCTGCCTCAAATGTCATCCCATTTCAGGATGCTCTTTATCTCTAACAGATCTTCTGCGTCGTTATAGTACATAACCATTCTTGGGTTTTCACGGCAGAAACCCATCAACACTGTCTGGTATTTAAATGTAAACCTGTGACAACAACATCAACAGACGTACACTGCCAACCCCGGGTTTGACTGGAAAAAGACGATTGTCGTTCGTGATGCTTTAATTCATCAGCTCCAAGACTTTCTTTTATAAAGTCATGGAGAGGGGATCACACGGCTCAGGCCGGCCCTCCCTGTTATTTCACATGGCTGGCTGATTAGCCCCCCCTCTTTTCTTTTACTGATGGAAAACACATGGCTTCCTCGCAGCCTGTTCATTTCAGGTTGCAGGCAGTGAGATGCTCAGCAGCAAGAGTACAATGTTTGGAGCCTGGGCCTTGAAAAGCAGTCATCATCAAAAAGCTGTCCCCTCCAGTCCCCACCAGCCACTGACTGTTATTTAGCTTTCCAATGGAAGCTGGCTGCTCCCCTGGGAAGGCAGGAGTGTGCCTGCCAGCAGAAATGTATCACAGGCAATAGAGAAAGATGGAGGATGGTGAGTAGCTGCTGCTGCTGCTGCTGCTGCTGCTGCTGCTGCTGCTGCTGTGTTTCCCTCTGTGTGAAAATGAATCCATTAATTTAGTTCCCCCTCCCCTCTTTCCTCTCCTCTCCTCTCCTTTCCTCTCTTCTCTGTGCCTGTTGTCTCTGTTTGTTAGCGAGATGATTCCTTCTGTCATGTCAAAGGCAACATTATCATATTCTTGTTGCCTGGGAAACCAGCACTGAGAGAGACAACGACTTAAAACCTTTATGGTGTTTGAAGCTGGAAAAACATGAAAGGTTATCCACAGTTCTGTGGGAGTGGGAATAGTGACATATCTTAAGGGGTCTTATGGTTGGATGTTTTCCTTTCCTGCCTCTGTGTTCTCGGAGAATTTTCCCCCTGTGTGGTTGTTTGTTAATGGATTCACTTCAGTGAGAGTAGAACGTGGCTTAGGAATCAGCAACAGCAAGACATTCAATTTACTGGGGAGCATGGAGATTGATTGTAGCCTCAACTGTATTATTTTCTATAATTAGAATATCAGACTAGAAAGCAGCTGAACAGTGTTTCTCTGTGTTTCCATTGTATGAAAACGATCAGCCTCAAAACAGTTTTTCTCTGTGTTTCCATTGTATGAAAACAGTTGACGTAGAACCTAGAGGTCGGAGGCTGATCGTTTAGGATTTGGTCTCAGTTACCGTAGATTTGTTTCAAGATTTAATGAATGAATTATTTGATTTAATAAATGTTGTACTAATAAGCAACCAACAAACATTTGAGCGTAGCTAGCAACTATGTATGACATGAAGTCAATTAAAAAGTAAACATATTGTCAACAGATTTCTTTTTCTGTTAAGGAAATGTTCAGGGGTTTCTTCAGTCAAACACGATCATACTTCTGTATATTACAATTCCTTTTAGCAGAAAATACATGATACTGGATGTAAAGATGTGAAATATTTTAAAAAACATAAAATTCTAATTTTTTTTCTAATTAATAAACAAGATAAGATTTTTCTATATCATTGTATAATATTTGATACATTGTTATTTTCGGCAACTATTTGCTCACAGAAATGCTCATTTTAGAAATAAAAACATTTTTTGGCTTATAACATTCTGTAAACATGGAAAGCTTGAGGCAGTTTTTTTTATCTCTGAATCATGTGTAGCAAATATGATACCAATGGTTATATAATAAAAAAACACTGAAAAATGATACCAATGGTTATATAATAAAAAATCATAAGGTTGGTGGATCATAAGGTCACTACGGGAGATGACGCATAAGCGCATACTGTGAATGATTCACACAACACTGCCACCTGTATTTCTGCTCTAAATGACACCTGGCTTCGCTTATATGTATTTATTATAATATAGTCTAAAAGAAACCCTAGGTACTATACAAGTACATCTTTGATGACAATTACATCATTATAAACAGACATTGATTTGGGTTAATGCTCAGAGAAATGAGGAACATGTAGTATGTGCTACTATCTTTGGTAAAGAGAGGGATGTGTGGAGGAGTCCTTAGACATTTTCCTGATTTTTTTCCCTGTGTTTAAATGAAGATTGTATGTGTTTTTGTTATTTAAAAAAAAACACACTCTTTGTCTGATGTTGGAAGACTAGCGATGTCCTGTTAGGTCCGAATGACTGCTTTTAGAAAAACAGATAATCACACCAAGATAGAGCTGAGCACCTGCTGGTCTGTGGTTTTCCAGCTCCATCACTGACTTGACAAACATTAATTATGCTCAATTTGAATAACAATTTGGCAATTTCTAAATTGTCATTTAGACAGCTACGCTTTTAAAATATTAAAATTGCAATTGATACCCACCAAGGTTAATGGGAACCTTGAACCCCCCCTCCCCACTCTTTGGATTTTGACAGCAGCCATTTGCACTACTAGCTTTGGTTTCTACTAGTAAACATTTTTCACAAAGACATATCTGGAGTATTTTCAAAAATGAGCACAGAAAAAAACCTTGACAAACAAAATACTTACTCTGGTCAAATTTTTAAAAAGACAAATTGATTTTTTTTTCATAATCCACTTTTAAATCATTCTCCAAAAGGACTTTTTAAAATTATTTGCTCATCACTGCTGACCTCGTCCAGTTGCTTCTCAAATAGCGGGTGTAGACCCCATAGCTTCAGCTATTACAGGGAAATGGGGTGTCAAGGTGTCAGTTTAATTTTTTTTTTCCAGGATGGGGGATTCTACTGACTTCGACAATAGGTCTATCTAAATCCATAACTCTGCAGAAAATCTTTGACGACCTACTGCCTGACTAACGACCCTGTCACCGGCCAGTGACACAATATTCGTGTTTTTTTCCGGTCTACTCAGTTATTCTTCAGAGTTAACAAACGTAAAAAACCAAGTCCATGTCGTCTATGTGCGCGATCCAGTTCCGTGTCTTTAAGCCGCGGATCTGTGGAGTGTGACAGTTCAATCCGCGTGGAGCAGCGTGTCCAGGTTTTCCTGGTCGCTCCCGCTGCTGCTGCTGCTGTTGCCTGTTGGCTACGTTGTATCAGTTCCCACACGGAGAAGCACCGCGGCGTCCATCCACAAACAGTGAACACGGAGGAATTAAGGCTGGATGGGAAGCTGCTGGCTGAGGGAGAGTGGCCGGAGTGGACCGGACTTGTGTCGGGACATTGATGAAAATGTTCTCCGGACCGGGTTGTTGTCGGTGTGGACGGTATCGCGAAGTGTGATGGCAGAAGTCCAGTGAATCGCTGGCCTCTCTCCTCTGCTCTTGTGTTGGATGTCTTGGGGAGTGCGCTGCCACTGCTTTCTGCTGCTTCGGATTTTTTTTTCCATTTTCCTTTCTCTTTCTCTCTTCCCTAGAGGCTTTTTTGTCATTCAGGCTTTTTACACTGACTTGTTCTTTTTATGGAGTGCACATTACCATGGACACTCAGGGATTTGGAATAGGAGTGTCTAGCTAAGTCGGTAAGTTAGAACATTTCTCAAATTTCTCTCTCTTATATTGTTGATAATGCATCGGCTCCATGGCCACTTAACGTCAGCCTTGCGTGCAAGGCTCTACACCACAGAGTCAACAAAGCATGCAGCAGCAGCAGCAGCAGCAGAAGCAGAAGCAGCAGCAGCAGAAGAGAGAAGCCCAGCCAAGTCTGAGTGCACTCTGCGCTCATTGTTTCACTCTACCGCACAGCCTACAAGTCCCATTAGCTCAACACACAGAGCTAACACAGTCCTGTTAGCTCCTTCAAGTTCAACTTAACACTTTAACAATCACCCAGGTCACCACATCTGACACAGAGGCAGAGACAACCGCCCAACACCTGTGGGTTTTAAATATGACCTCTATAAGTTCGGTGTTGCAAAAGACATTATGTGTCTAAGTTAAAGCTGTGTGTCTTGTTTCAGGGTAGTTCCTAAAGTGTTTCCCAAGCTTGCCCCCAGCCCCCCCACAGGAACCCCATGGGTAGACTTTTAAGGTTTCCTATAGAATAAAGAAACTTTTATTTTCCAGGAATCCAGCATGCCCCCCCCAAAAGAAATCCAAATTTAGGATTTTTAAATTTAGGAGATTCTTTCATATATTACATGCATTGCATTTTTGTAGTTGCCTCATTTGCTAACATTTAGCAATCAAATGGCTCTAAGATTCTTGGAAAAAAAAAGCACAAAACAAAAAATGTGACTTCATATGCCCACACCTAAGTTCCTGTATTTCATGTAAGTGGTATACTATGTGAATATCCTACTTTTGAAAAACTGTACTTTGGCGTCACTTCCTGCAATACTGTACATACATGCTTTCAAAAACAGTGTACAAACAGTTGACAGGTCAGCAGATATCTGCAGCTTTGAGGAAATGTAAAAAAAAAAGAAAAGTATTTTGTTCTTTGTGATTTTGGATTGTATTTTTGCAACCGCAACACTCATCCTTAACAACCTGGGGTCACCATCTTTGATCACACTACCAGTCCTTGTTAAATACCTGCAACATAGAGGGGAACCCTAAGAACAGTAATAATATAATACAGTTTCCCACAGAATTTTAGGAGTGTCGGGGAGGCAGGAGGGGTGTGATTGAAAGTTGTCATTCACTTCTTCCTTTAACCCAATGGCCAGGGAACACACATGCGCACTCGCTCCCTGCCCCATAGAGAGCGAAAAATTAGCCTTGGTTTAGTGGTATGTTAGAAGATGACTGGCACAGTGAGATCGTCACTAAATCATGTTTAGTTGAGGAGTGTGCAAACGTGCCAGTGTCATAACAGGGTTACACTTGTGTAACAAGTCGTATACTAAATGAGTGTAACTACAGAGAAGTGAGGCCCAACCATTAGTTGTGGTCTGATAAACTGTTCATATCAGGATTTTAGATTGGAAAAAATAATTGGGGAAATTCTACGTCAGATTAGCCATTTTCCTTTTTTGTCCTATTTTGTTTGGGGAGCACAGTCTCAGTAAAGTGTGTCATTTCAATTAGAGGACCTGCTTTTTTAACAAGGCATCTTGGGGTTAATTCTACACTCTGCTCTCTGGCCTGTTCTGCCTTATCCAGTTTAACACGGCAACAAAAGACTGAAGAGTGGCCATGTCTCCCACTGTTCATGCTTTAAATTAGAAAAGAGATGTTTTTATTCAGAAATGTTTAAATGTTTAAATGACTTTCCTGTTTATCTGGTTGAACAAGCATCAGTCGGTCTGTTTGTAATGTTCCATCCACTTGAGGTTTGTTGATGTATAGTGGAGAGAGCTGCCAAGAAACCTGGTGTAGGCCATTTCATAAAAGTCTTTCTTCTTTAATTTAAGCCTTGTGGTCAGATACTTGATATCTCATCCAAGACATTTGGCAGTGAAGCTCTTCATTTGCATCTAAAGTCCTTAAGCATTCCTCTTTAATGCTGCAGTTTATTTTATAAACTAGTTTGTTCACCTCGTGTTTGGCAGCCCTGCTATCTGCTGATTAAAATAATTAAAGCAAACACATACAGAGCAGTACCACAGTGTCGCAGCAGTTCATCCTCCTACTCACAGAATAAGAAAGAAGTCATTGTAGTGTTAATTCTGTTGATTTAAGTACGCTATACATTAAAGACACCCATTCTGCAACATGTATTCTCTTTGTGTGTGTTTCATGCCTGAGGTTGAAGTAACAAATTACCTCTCTGCAGGCCTGTGGCTGTTGTAGGCTTCAACGCATTGCTATTGGTTTGCTTTTGTTAAAGACTTGTATGTAGTCATTGTAATCTGACAGGGTGTTTGCAAGCCATATCAAATGACATGCAGGAAATACTGTAGTGTAAAACGTGTACAGCAGTGTACCAAACACCCTCAGACCCACAGATGCAGATTTGAATATTAAACAGAACGGTGTCAACAATTAGTTCTTGGGCAGATCATTTCTGGGGAAAATGGGGGTTTCCACGTTTGGAAAGCACCTAGAGAAACAACCAAGAGCTACAGTAAACAGTAAATGGAACCTATAAATGATTCAAGCATTTCACTTAGGTGGTGGGGTGTTAGTCAGTATTGATTTTTACTGACTTTTTCTATTGATTTTAGACACTGTGAGAGGGTTTTATTGTGAATGTAGCAGACTGCGCTCAGTAGATATTACGGCATTTGGAATACAGTTAATTATTATAAGACCTTTTGAGGGGAAACACATCATTTTTTTTAGTGCAACAAAAGAGAAAAATAACTCAGTTGTTTGAGGCAGAGGTGATTCCTTTCTGTTTCACAATCCTTTCTGCTCCACGTCTGAATTTTTGTTTTCAGTGTTGTTTCTGTGTAATCTCTGTTAGCAGTATTGTTGTACCACAGTAGGTGTATTATGAAAAGTCTGATAGAGCTGGTCAGTTGGTAAGTGGAAGTGAAATTTAAGAACCCGAGCCTCACACAATAACATGACACTTTATAGCTGTCAGAGCTGTGTAATTTGCCTCCACTCTGGACGAAGGCCGAGGTCGAACATGAGAGCAGTGCAACTCAGGGGAAAAAACATTTTCATATTTGTCTGGTGTGATTTTTGACATAACTGAGGCGCGCTGCTGTGCTTTCTCAGTTGAACAGAAAAGAAATGAGTCAAATTATGTCTAGTGAAAATGTGTTTTTACTTTGGCTTTGTGCTAACTGTGGAAAGAAAGAAATGTTGGAATTATTAAGCCGCTGCCCAACATTTTTACATTTTTCATTTATTTATGAATTTATTTTTGGTTTTCTACTCTGCACCAGTGTTGTCATCTAGGAAACTGTGGAAGAAGAGAATAACAAACTGTGTTTGTTCAGAGGTCCAGGGCAACAGATTAACCCAGGACAAGGGGATTATTTGGCTTTGTGAGGCTCCTGTCAGCTCATGGCAACACACCAGCTAAAGGCAAAGTAACAAAGAATTTACCATTCGTTCTTCTAAAGCACTAATTTTATTAAAACTGTTATGAATATATACGAAGATGCAGTACAGTCTTTGTTTTGTTTTTTTGGATCATTTCAATAGAAATCATTTTTACAGTGTTACACAAAATCTTGTTCTCATGGGTACAAATTGACAGATTGAGATAAGACTGAAGACCTATGTTCACACAGTGTAAGATTGAGATAAGACTGAAGACCTATGTAGTTAAAAACTTCACACAGTGTTTTCCCCAAGGTTGAGATTTGTTCCAAATGGTGGTCTTAAAGTGGTGGAGGCAGGGGTTGGGCGTGCTGAAGCAGTTGTGGTAAGCTTCAGTCATGAGCACCAGCCTGCAGAAAAATGCCACGACATGATCCAACTTCCAGATAGCGGCAAGGAATCGTAAAGTGAAACCAATGCAGTTTGTCACGGCAGACTTTTATACGTGATAGTCTGCACATCCAGCTGCGTTTAACACAAGCACACTAAAAAGAACAGTTTGGTGAACAACAAACCATTTTCTTTGTGTAAATATTATAAACTGCAGTGTGGTGAGTGTAGAGCTAAACATCCTTTATTTACTCTCGAATTTAAGTATAGTCCAACCACAAATATCTATTAGGTGTTGACTTGATGCCAAGTCCTATTTCAGCATTGCTTTGAAGAAGGGTTACGTGGACCTATAAAAAGAAAAAAAGCTTTTAGCCTTGACTGCAATACGTGTCGGTTATTTAAAATCTCTATGGCATCTAAGGAAGGCAAGGTTTATTTACACTTTTTCTTCTGACAAACCTGAAATTCTTTTTAATAAATATTAACACTTTCTACACGCTTCAGAAGGTTACGACCAAGGCTTTGCACTTGCTCAAATTACAAAAATGTGGATCTGTTTTTTAGTACAGGCAAGTTACAGTTCAGTTCAGTTATCCAGAGTGTGTTTTACTTTAAATGCTTTAAGTGTATGGTTTGGTTGTACATCAGTTCATAAGTACATTTCCATCCAAATTTACCTGTGTCACTCACCTACGTTAACATAGTGGTAACATCATAATGTAGTACATAAAAACATCAAAAGTGTCTGGATTTTGCTTGAGAGTCATCAACACAAATGAAGGAAAGTGAATGTAGCACCATCCAATCTATAAAGCCTCAAAGGTCTTCCGCATATAGCGCCATGTGATGGTGTCCCCTACGAACTAGTTGACACTTTACGTCTGAATGACAGAACAAGAGTTTCTTAATAGATTCATTGGAGACGGGGACTTAACCATAAAACGCCATAGGTCGAGGACGTTGTAAACCGAGGACACACTGTCATCATTTACTGATAAACATAATAAAATCTTAAAGCTAAATTAAATAACATTAGTAATACTCCCCGCCCCACCCCTCTCAGTTTACTTTTTTTGTTGAAAATATTGGCCACATGAAATATTCACCATTTAAGCAGCTAGTGTTTATCATGGGTTGGAAATAAGTCGGTTCAGCTTTAGTTTTTATAGCATTGATTGGTGTCTCTGCAGAGAATTGCCAGTTATAGCAGAATAGAGCACTGTGAATGCTTGTTGCACTGCTGTTG